AGTATACACTCTCCAATGTAAAATACGCTAGATTTTCATCAGTCTTCTTTTTTTTCTAATTTTTCTAAGTTCTATTTTGAAAAAAAAAAGATCAAAATGTTTTATTTTTGATATTCATATTGCTGTAGTCTTTATCAGGGACTTATCAAGATCTGATGATTCTCATATTAATCTAACTTACTCATATCGCAGATGTTGTTAGAATATTTCGAGTTTGGATAAAGAAATGTCTTACAGCAAAACATTTGATAATATCGAAGGATTCATCAAATATCTTTGGACAGAATAATATTGATATTTTTGAAACAGGAACAATTGTCTCAGATATATGTGTATTTATCAAAAAGTACGATTAGACATATTTATAAAAAAAGTTAAAAACAATCCCAATCATTTTGATAAAATAATGAAAATCCAAAATTTTATCGTCGACGTCATATGATAATAAATACAAATGGTTCGTCCCTAATGCATCACATCCAGATGAAAAACATTCTCCCACTATTTAGTTGATGATGTTGGTATGATGTTTCGTATTATTCATAGTATAATTCATGCAAAAGAATGTGAAAAAAACCTAGTAGATCATATCTGTAACATTGATTACGCCCTGTGACCTACAAAACTCACACGAAGATTAATGAGACATGGTTATTAAACGTAATTGGGGCTGTTTTTCAGCTTTTTTACTGATATGCCTAATGGTACTTCGGATACATACAATCATATTTTAGAGAGTTGTTCATGTTTCACAAAATATAGATATTATTCTATTAAAAAATATTTGACGAACTCTTCAATGTTATCAAGCATTTCTTTATCAAATATCTTTTGTGCGAGCGTTCTCGTGATCTTAATAGTGACAATACGACGAAATTCGACAATATCCTCTGCTGAGCGTGCAGCACTAATGATGTCATCTTTGTCTTTCACAGAATCACTGTTCTTAGTTTATTTCGATTGTATAATTAAAAACAACACAAAAACTGGAAAATATGTTTCGTCGTCCATCAAAGTATGTCAAAAACGAAATATCACTTATTCTATGCCGCATTTTATTATTGTCAGTTTATCTATGGTTTGAAAATTATTTGAACTTTCATATTGTCTTCTGACATGATCAATTAAATCCTTCATTTGTTGTTTATTTATATTTTTTTCTGAAAATTTTGTCCATAATCGATTTTCTATTAGATAAATCCAATCTTCTGCTTTAACACTATTTGGAGGATATTCAAAAGTAAATGTTTCTTGGTGAAGTTGCTTAAAACCTGCATGTTTTAATTCATCAAACAATGTTTCAACCTTTAAATTTCCAAATAAACTTTTTGTACGTTCGTCAATATGGACTAATTTCAGCTGTATGTAAGCGATGAACTATCAATAGTTTACCTTTAGTAGGCGCAAGTTGTTTGTAAAAGCCTTCAAAAGCAATCAATCGCTCCTCGTGTGTTAACAAATGAATCATCAATTTCATGAAAATACGATCATATGATGAGTACTGAGCTGATTGACTAAATGTAACAGCATCCATGCATACTGCTTCGATGTTTTGGGTTTGAATCTGATCCTTTTCTAAATTCATCCAGCATACCTTGTGACGGATCTACTCTTAGAAGGAACAATAAATATAAAAAAACTTCTAAGCTATACCCATTCATGAAGAGCATGGAGCTGATTTCCGTACAGGTTAACGGCAGCTTTTGACAGAAACTGAATATTAACATTACAAACAGTGGAATAAAATGTGTCTCATGAGATAATAAAAGTGTATCGTGAAAGAAATAATGACGTTCTATCAGGATAGTCATCGCTTCACATAAGATAAATATGGTATCTAAGAAGAAAAATGATGATGTTCCTTAAGGAACAAAAAGTCAAGAGGAAAAACAAGCGGACTTCTATACTGCTTCTTACTTCATCTTAGTTCTGAAAGACAGAAGTCCATTTTTTTCTCTTTTAACAAAAGTGCATAATTTGTTTTCAACCAGTAATCATCCTTAGAGGTATTCTGCAATTCTGAAAAGTCTACATGACTCTAGTCATCCAACTTGAAACTTGTGTTCTATCTTACAAAGAATGTTTTCAAACGTCAGTATGAGTATCCTGTTATGAATAGGAAGAGGAAATTAGAAGTAGAAAGTCTTCTATTTTTGAGCTATTTTTCTTCCTAAAAACTACAGTTTATTTCTCTGTCATATTGAATGTAATGTGACACAGTCAATCAATTGCTTTGAAGTAAGCTTCTCGAGCACTTTACGATACTTGCCTATTAAGCGTATTTGATTCTTCATTCTATTCAGTATTATTTTTGATTCTAGACCAGGACCGCAACCTATATCAACTAATATATGATTTGGCTGAAGTTCTAATGAATCATATATCAATGAAGACATCCATTCATTATGCAATGATGAATTGAAATATGTATTAACATATTTCGATGATATTGCTGGTGTAAAATAACTTTTTTTTGTTTCATGTTGATCGACAGGAGAATCTGACATGTTGCTGGGTTTTTGAATTTTTTACTTTTTCTTCTAGATAATTATCTTCTTTTCTTTCTTATACTAAAAACTGCATCAAAACATCACCACATATAGAACGAGAAATCTTATCAAAAAACAACAAAAATGACATCTGCAATGTTCAATATCGAGGAAAGAAAAACACTTTAATCAAAAACCCAAACTATTTGGTTCTATTGCCCTGTTCTTGCAATTCTTGTTTAACAGTTGAAGAAATGTTATTACTAGAGAAGATCTCCAAAGTCTCGAGTGTCTATGTATAGAGAAGATGATGAATATGAGAGAGATAAAAATACAATGCGAATCATTGAGTTGTTTCTTAAGGCATCAGCACGACGTTGTGCCCCAGCAGCTCCGATTCGATTCTTCGACAGGTTCAATGTGGTGAGTGTCTAAGTTCACGTTTATTTTTAGGAAAAAATGTCTTGATTCCGATAAATGCATGGAATCAACACAACATCTTAATATTTCTAGTCAAAAAAAAGGACTAACGACTTTTCGATTCAGTTCAACACAACAATTGAACTTATGATCACAGGTTACTCTTCTGACGAAACAAGTCAATCAATCATTCATTTATCATTTCAAACCTACCTTTATTGTTGTTCCGTTCAGTAGTTTAAACATCAATTGCAAAGAAATTTCTATTAGAATATTCCTTAGAATCATAGATTTTGTGGAGCTCACATATATTTTCAAAGACAATGGTGGATGTAAGTTTCAAGACACAGTCTTTAGGGCTCTCCTCCCTCCTTACACTCCACAGAGAGTGGGTGTGGCTGTGGCTGCGGGTGTGAGTCTTCTCTTCATCTACACTTACACCCACACCCTTCTCCACTCTCAATGAACTTACATAAGAAAACACAAAATCGGTCTAAGAAGCATAATTTTCAAATTAAATTTGTGAATGAAATAAATGTGTAGCATTGCTTATTAACATCGTTGCTTTCCAAGCAAAAAACAATTTTGCTGTAAAGTGGTATGTTATTTCTGTTTCCTTACTATACGTATAGTAGTTTTTCTTCATAAACGTTTAATGTTGTTCATAACATTCTTTAATAAAAAATTGAAAGATTAGTGTGTGAGATGACTGTCCAAAGAAAATTGAATTTTTGCGGTTGTTACACTTAGAAGTTTTCAAAAAATATCATCAGGTTATATATATATATATATTTATTGGAAAAATTTAAAAAGCTACTCTTGAGGATTTTAATAGTTTACTAAGATCTACAAATCCTGAAAGTTTCATGCGATTCAGAAATACTTGTGTATTGCATGATTGAGAATCTGTGGAAATACCATCCTTATACAATTAATTTCTTTCAGAGAATCATGAAAAATTCTTATGAAAGCAGTGAAAGAGATGTTATATTTATAGAATCTATAATTTTTACTATCGAAGTAATTCAAAGGATTCTTGATTTCAAAAATAAACAACATATATCTAAAGCCGTCCGATATGTATTTTTTTCTATAGAGACTGTTGTTATCCAACAAAAATCAAGTATCTAATGTTTTTCCACTAATATTTAACGAATTCATCAGTTAGAAGCAAAATCAAATTTTTCAGTTCTGTTCACTATTGTAAATGCCAATATTTTATATCGAATCCATGAATTCTTGTACACTACTGATTACTTCAGCGCATGATTTTGGAAAAATTCCTACATCAATAAAAGAAGATGGTGAACGAAAAACACATGATGACTTTATTTTTTTTTTGTGTACCTGGAACAGAGAAATATCCGTGAACGACACCTTTAATGAGAACCATTTTGGTCTTGACACCAGCTTGATCGAGAACCTTTTGATATGCTAAAAATGAGACAATAAGACAAAATTTATGTATTCAGATTTCAGGAGTATTCGGTACCGTAACTGTCGTCTCGCAGTGGATCGAGTTCAGCAGGAATCAACAAACATGGTGGCAAACCCTCAAAAGAGGATTTGAGTAACACAGAAGCTCGTGGATCAGTCAAATCATTCATATCATGAAACGCTGATGATGTGAACCTGTGACAATGTTAAAAGGAAAGATATAACAAATTGAATAGTTTTCTCACCAATCTAACATCTCCGGTGTAAGAAAGTACATTGGATGAACGAATTCTTTGTACGAAGGTGCTGTTCGTCTCATATCAAAAATGCCGAATACGAGGATCTATTCAATGTATTTAAAAATGACTCTTATCTTCATAGTTCAGAAAAATATATTCATTTCAAGAACTACTTATGTATACTGAGGAAAAAGTCAATCCCTGCCTTGTGTTTTGAGTATACTTTACAAACCAAGATAAATATATCGAATTACTTTTATTTTCGACTGTCCCATATACGATTACAAATCCTTTGGTGTTGAGATCAACTAGTATGAAAGTATGAGAAAGATATCTCATGTACAACAGAAAACTCTCAATATTATTTTATATTTTAATGCTGTAAAGAACAAATCGAAAAATTTTTCAATATCATTTATGCTAATTGTACCTGAAAATCAATATTTTTCAATGTGTGACAAATTGATGCACTTAGTGTAGCACCTGCACTATCACCAGCCAAGCCTACTTTTGCTGATGAGTTAACACCTAAGAAAGCAAATTTTGACATAAGAGGATTAAACAAGAATGTGTCAAAAATGTTATAACCATAGGACTCTTTATTTTCCAAAATATGTCGAGTTACTTCACAAGCATCTTCCCACCAGATAGGAAATTTATGCTCTGGTCCTCGGCGATATTCCACTGAAATCCAAATAGTTTTTGTAGCACTGAAAAACGAAAAAGAATAGAGTTGATGGAATAAAACGTTATGTAATGAAAAATTATTGTTACTCAGCTAGCATATTAACAATAGTTTGATGTGTTTTTCTACTACACACTGTAAAACCTATTAATATTATCAAGAAAACGTTAATTAGGCCATTTAAAGTAATAGTTTATCGTCTATCTTACCTCCTCCATGAAAAAATATCACAAGTTTTGCTTTATTAACATCAACAGGTGTATAAATCGTTATTGGTATCTCTATATGGTTGATAAGAAAGATCGAAAATTGGTCGATATTGTACCTAAATTCATACTATCTACCTGTTGAATTAACATTAACATTTTGTTCTTGTAAAGTTCCCTTGAAAGTCGGAACAAGTTTTTCATTCATTTTAGCATGCGCAAGTTCTGCTTGTTCTCGAGTTTCGGTGACGCGATTTTCGTTTGTTGGAGTCGGAGGTGGTGACTGCATTATCAGATTAAGAAAAGTAATAGTTTCTTCGTTAAATCGTGGATCCCTATTTAGAATTCAGAGAATTCGAAATCTTTTGAATATTCATTGAAAACTTACATGTGTACAACGATGATGAAATAGATCGATTATTTTGTGTTTAGTTGTTTTTTATCGTGGTAGTGAATAAAGGAAAGAAAAGAAAAAAAATGAAACGAAAGACCGATAGAATGTTATTTTAAGCATATGCTGTGTACGAAAAAGACTCCATATTACAACATGGACCACGTGAAACTTATCTCGTTCTAGCTAAATGTAAATATTGATATTATTATAAGGTTCTTAACAGCCTCAAAAAAGCAACGCAAGATTGATTGACGACATATAAAACATGGGCTTTTTCTCTACAGCATTTTTTGTTTTTGAAAAGATATAATTCGAATACGTGCCTTTTTCCAATCAAAAATAAATTATAACGATGAGGGAAATTTAACGATTGATTATGTTTCGTGTGAATGTTGTACTCTCATGTTCTCAATTGAATAGGAAAGTTGTATATAAGTTGACTTAGATGTCGTACAGGGTGTAGGTGTGGGTGTGGGTGTGTGTGTGGGCGTGGGTGTGGGTGGGTGTGGGTGTGGGTGGGGGGTGCGGGTGTGGGTGTGGGTGTGGGGGTGGGTGTGGGTGGGGTGTGGGTGTGGGTGTGGGTGTGGGTGGGTGTGGGTGTGAGTGAGGGCGTGGGTGTCGAGAAGCAAAACGTTAACAGCCACACCGATCACACCCCACCCACACACTCACCCACCCACTCACACCCACACCCACGCCCACACCCACCCACGCCCACACCCACCCACGCCCACACCCACCCACACCCACACCCACACCCACACCCACTCACACCCAACATAGAACGTTGTTGTGTCTATGTTCCGTCTACTGTTCTGTCTGAATCAGCACCGATTATTTGTTAAGAAGTGAGAGAGAATAAGAAAACAAGCACGTGGTGAATGTTGAAGATAATAGTGCAACTGTATAAGTAACGAATATGCTCCTGACTCAAGGAATGTATATGTCAGCGTCCATACTCGGATTCAGGCCAATCTCGGATTCGCCTGAATATGATCAGGCCAATCTGAGATTCGTCTAGGCCAATGTGAGATCGATCGGAGATTCGTCTAGGC